ACAGAAGGAAAACATCAGGAGGAACAGCTTGCTTGCGTCACCACACGCGGGAGCCTTTCCAGAAAATGAAGCAAGTTGTAACCAAAACTGCGCTTGCAAGAACGCGAACAACAAAGAAAACAAGAGGTATCAGCCTGACACCTCTTGGGTTGCATCAGTGGCTAGGGAAAGGAACTTGAACAAGCCCGTCCATCAGTTGCGCGGAGGTCCGGCTGGGAGAATAGGCGCATGGAAGGATCCAGCCATGATGTTGTTTCATGTGAGATTTCAGAGATCTGCAAGGTGAGTGTGTAATATTTGGCCGGGTTGCAATGTGTCGAGCATGCACTCAGGCAAAACATGCCAGTTGATGCGGCGGTGGCCCCTGCGAGTTGCGTTGCGTTCTTCAAAGTCTGCGCCTGTTGAAGAGAGGGGCTCCTCGTTGCGGTGAGTGATGGCTGGGCAAGTGAGTGCGGGGGGCGCTGTGTGGAGGGTGCGCCTTTGGCGCTTCTAGTCCTGCCACGTGCGAATCTTCCCTGAGTTTCAGGAAAAGGCTTTCCTAGCTGAGCCTGAGCCTGGGTCTCGCTTGCGGACACTGCCATAGTATGTCTGCCTATCTGACCAAAGCGTTGTCCCGCTGAGCGCTGCCCTGGTGAGAAGAGAGGGATGCGCCTCCTCCTTGAGAGTGGCAGAGCAATTGCTGCGGGTGTAAGGAAAGCGCTGAGGGTCTCGATTTTGGATGGGGCGCGGTCGTCCTGTCAACGACTCCTTGGGGAAGGCCATTTGGGGAAGGCCATGAATGAGCTGCAGAGAGGGTGTCGTTCTGGCTGCAAAGCCTAGAGAACTTCTTCATAGCGGACTGCTCGAATGAGGATGACACAGGTGTGTCTTCTCGGGAACCTGATGCCCAGAACATAGGCCACTTGCGCAAGGAGTTGGTCTTCTTCTTGCTGGGCAAAACCTGTAACGTAGATCGGTTTGACTGTAGCGCTCTTTGATCAGCTGGAGCCGCGTGCAAAAAAGGTCCGTCAAGGCGTAGAAGGGCTGGAAGGAGACGCGGTAGCCTGCTCTCGGTCTTCTGGGACACTAACACGCGCACCTTGTGGGGAATGTCCACTTCAAGTATCTTTTGGCGCACCGACCTTCAGTCCAGTCAATGCGCAGCCGCCAAGCGCTGGATGCAGGGGCAAGTCGTGTGTGGACGCTTGTTGCTGATCTTACATGCGTCGAATAGAGCAGCGATGAGCGTGCATCCTCGGAGACCAGTATAGGATCTCAGTTTCAATTTTGCATTCGCATTGACAATATGTAGCAATGTAATGGGTCCGTCTCCTTCTCAAGGAAGTGGTCTGTGACAAGAATACTCACCAAGCTCACGACCTAGGACTGCAGTGAAGATCCGGCAGATCTTCTCCTGCTTTTCAGGATCAGTTGCGCTCCTCGTGGCATCTTGGAATCTCTTCGACTTACTGCTGGCGCAATCTTCTTGCGCGGGCGACTCGTAATAAGTCTGCAGGATGGACTTGTGAAGGTTTTTCGCGAGTCGGGAATAGTGCTTGAGGGCGTCAGTCCTGTCACCAACGAGTGCTTGAGGGCGTCAGTCCCGGCACCAGCATGTGGCCATTTCTCCACCATCAGGATTTCCACGATTGTGCAGGCGTCCGATCTCTCGTTCTCGAAGTACCACTCCTGGTCATTTGCGGTTACACCGGCCATTTTGTCGTCGGAGGAGTTGTAGAATGAATGCTTCTCGGAAATTCCGACTGGGTGGTGAATTTCTGGAACGATGATTGCCTCGGCTCGTCGTCGGAGGCTTCCCTTGCTGAGAACTGATTCTGCCAGAGCTGGATCATCCTTTTCTTGCTCGGCAGACACAAGTTTCTTGAGTCAAGAAACGGTCTGAATATGGAAAGGAGAAACGGAATACGCGGTTTCACTGTTCATCTTGTCTTCTTCGAGTTGTTTGGATGGAGGCAAACGCCGAAAATGGCAAGCCTCACATGAAACATTCTCTATCAGAAATGCGACGGCTGCTGAACCGCTGTGTGTGTTGTGACCCAGCCTACGAGGAAAACCTTCTCAACCATGGTCCTGAATGGAGGACGCGTGTCAACATTTGGAAGAATACCGGTCTCATGCATCTGGCCACGGTTGCCTCCTTGTGAAGCATCTGGATGAAGCGCAGTGTCTCCTTCTGTTCTGGGTGGTGGGTTGTTGAAGCTGTTGGTCCAAACTCCGTGCACCAGTGCGAGTCTGGACACCTGCAAGTTTCGCCCAGATATGTCTAACCAAAGTCCTCGAGAAAAAAGAGCGTATGCCAAACAGCGCACCAAGCCATGCGACTCTGCCACTGCGGCGGGGTTTGTGGTTGATGCGGTCTTGCGGGTCTCGGAGTCAACGAGAGATCCTCGTGAGTGTGATGAGTCCTTATGAAGGACTCGGCCCTCTGCGAGGAGAATAACACGCGCACGTTGTCATTCTTTCGGACGCGTCAGAGTAACCGACTAGTCTTGATGTTTCTGACAGTCTTACTTATCGCTCTATCGTTCCCAATGGTGGGAGATGAGGCCTTGGACGCACACCTGGAAAATTGGTAGCCACATTCAAGTTGAGTTCTGGGTTGAAGCCAACTGGTTTCACAAAGCACACTTCTACACGCACGGGCTTAGTTGAACATCATCCTTGACATCCTTTTCAAGATGAGTCTCTTGTAGTTCATCAGTAGTGCCACATTCTTCTGGCAATGGGCATTCACAAGCTCTCCGCGCTTGTCACCGGTTTTCCATTGCACTCTTTGGCCAACAAAAAGACTGACAGTCTTCTCTTCAAAAACCAACTTCGAAGCCCTTGCGGGTCTTGGCCACGATTTCTTGCTCGAAGGTGCTGCCTTAAGCTAGGAGAACGTCATCAACATGGAGGGACATGACTCCATGGCGCCTTGGGCGTTATGGCCTGAGACTGGATCCATGAATATGGATCCTTCCAGGCCATATTCATTTTGATGAACAGCTGCGTGCGGTTCCTGACGTGCATTTGGAAAGCGTGTTGTCGCAACACACGTAACTGCAACGGTCAGCACGAGCGACGCCTAGGAGCGTCTTCATATGGCCGCTGATGTGGGTGAAGAAATCCCACAAAATATACCTCTAGTTTCATCATAGAATCATAGGCTTCTCTTGAAGTGGTGTCAGCACCCGCTCGGGCGACCTTGCTTGGTTCACCTTCAAGGGCCTGGACGGCACGATGACGGACCTGTTCATCCACCTGGTGGCCTACCAGCTGGTGACGCTCTCCGGCACGGGCGTCTCGGTGCTCGACTAGCTCCAAAAAGGTTAATGCCCAGTTTTTTGCAGCGCCACAAAAACAATGACAAAAAAGGCGGCGGTGCCACCGTTCGTTGTTTTTCACGTTTAGTGGCACCGCCAAACAACCAGTAAAATCACGGAAAAATGGACTTGTTCCAGGCTCCCTGGTCGCAGGGAAGCCTGAACGGCCTAGTCCGGAATGCTCAGCCGCTCCGCAAGCTCTGCCGTAAGGAGCGCTGTTTTCAAGCCCATGTTGTGTGAAACACGTTCCACCCGTGATTTACTGCGGCTTGCGTGGCAAGCCTGAACCAATTGCTCGACGCAGCTGGGCTGTCTGTTTGTCGTTCATTCTTCTGGCGCTCCTGGCATCCTCTGAGCACCCAAAACGCTTCTTGGTCTTGAGGAAGTTCCCTTGATTGTTTTTTTGGATGGTCGGGACCCATCTTCCGCTGACCCAATCTCTTCCTTGGAGTCTTCTGGCGTCGACTAAGTCAAAGACTTCATTGTCCAGCCAGGATTTGCACTCCACAGGTCTGGCCTCAACAAAGCACGCACGAGTCTCTTGCTGAGCGGCCTCCTTCCGCTTCTTGTCAAGGATCTGTTGCGCGTTCACATGCCTTCAGGGATTCTTGTCGTTTGGGCAGTTCTGGCACGCGCGAAGAGTGAGTGAGCCTGAGCAGACCTATCGGTCTTCCTTCAGTGTCTCTTGGTACTCTTCAGAGTCTCTTGGTACTCAAATGATCCTTTTGGTCATGCGTCAGCTGTGTCCCGATGGGTTGCATCTATGACAACATCTGGTTTTTCATCAGTACGCCACGCTCCGACACATTCTGAACAAATTCGACTGCTGACGAGGCAGCTGGACCTGCGGAAGCAACCGGGGACGACGATGGCGCTGAAGGTTTTGCGTCCTCAGGACTTGCTCTTGTGTTTCTTGTTGGGCGCATCTTGTTCTTGCGTGTCGTCATCATCATCTTCCGGGACTGGCGGCAGAGATGGTGGCGTCGGTTGCAGGTCATGTGGCGGATCTTGGTTGCTGCCATGATCACCACAGTGATCAATTGGCGTTCGCCGAATGGCTGGCACTTCCTTACAAGACATACATGTCTGTGAAAACACGAGCACAGGCCGCTGCAAAGGACTGAGTTCACTCCAGTCAGGTCGCCGGTAGGACCCAAATTCGACTCAGATTTCCAGGCTGCCACAGAAAACGCATGAGTCATCCGGTGGAGTACCCACTGGTGAGATGACACCAAGTGCACAACAGCACGTGATTGTACGTGGTGCACAGAAGCGTCGAAGCCGCGCGTGCACCTCTGTGTAGGGCGAGTCCCGCTGTTCGGCGCCTCAAGATCAAGTTCGCACAAGCCTGGAGGAGATCAAGCTTTCGAAGCTGCTGCAGCTTCTACGAAGAAGCGCGGCAAACGCAAAAAGCTGGGCGGATCAGACACCAGCATGTGTACCCTGTGGCTGCTGTCTACATCAACGCACAGCTTGCAGGATGTATCGAGAAGTTGTGTCAAACAAAACCCCTCCTGCGCCGGCATTTGTTCATGAGGGTTGGCTGTGCACTTAAAGCGCGCCTCAGCATCTTGATGCTGCAGATGGTTATTACCCCCGCTCCACCCCCCACAACCCCACCGAAGAGTAAGTACGCACTAAAACGCAGCGCAAACCATGGGCGTTGACCCAACACACTGCCCTTTGCCAAGATTCTGCTGCAATGACAAGTGAGTCGACGGTGCTGTTTCAGGTACGCCAGACAGCTTTCGCAACATATCAATCATAAAGTCCTGAGATCAAGTCTGGCATCGCAGGCTTCCGGAACACTTTTTGCGCACAGGTCCAGCGTTGCGCACGTGCGAGCAAGATCACATATATTGAGGTGATGCTCGGTTGGCTGCTCTGGCTTCTTGGCCTTAGCAAACGCTGGCGGATCCATGACACGACTGCCGGCGCCAGATCATTGTAGCCATCAATTGCAGCAAGGCGCAATCACCTCGGCAACCACCTTCTGCAGAACAGGATCCAGCACATTGAGGATAAATTCCTTGGCAAGCCAGCATTCCCTTTCCTGTCAGATTTGGGAATTGTAAATTGAGACGAGCCCAGGCCAAATTTCAACCCGCGCCTTTGCTGCCTAACCAACTCCTCGCGTACTTGTAACTCAGTGACCATTGCAAGGCGGTGCAATCAAGGGTCCTTCCTCTCTTCGCTGAAAGACAAGTTTTCAACAGCGGCTCTTGCAGACGACATTGCTGACGGACAGGGGCAGGATGTAGTGGCTGCTGCTCATGTATTGATGCTAAAGCCAAATGTCAGAAATCTGGTAAGTCACTCCGACTCAAGCAAACTACTTACTCAAAACACGTGCAGAAACGTAAGAAACAAAATGTCTGGCGCGGTTGGAAAGAGCTATGTTCAGCTCCTGTTCCTGGCCTAATTTGTGGTCTGCTTCGATGCCAGTGTTGTTGCGCACGCATGCGCAAGCATGTGCAAGCGTGCGTGTCAAAATGCAGTTGCCTCTCGCACACTTGCCATCACTTCCGGTCCTCCCAGGTAATGCTATATGCTTTTCGCCGTGAGAGGTGCTGGACAACCTGAGCACCCGAAGCGCACGGCCCAAGTTGGTGACTCAGGCAGCACACCTTCACCAGGCAGTTGGTGACATACTCGAAGGTGTGGATGTCATCGTTATGTAGAAGCACTCTCCACCATCTCAAATCCACATTTTGTGCTGAGAAAGCATGAACGAAACTTCCAAGCTGGGGACTTCTCTTTCTCAAACTGCTCCTGCAACCAATGGGCCAAGGCTGACAGGAGCTGTGTGCTGTTTTGGCCTTCATCTGCGTCTTTCTATCGACCTGCCACAAAACACACCCAGCCTGGCCAAATCAACCTGGTCTGACCCGGCCTTTTCAACCACGGCAATCCCTGCATCTGGAAGGTCTGGCTGTCCTTGAGCTCGGCGTGCCACCCGTGAGCCTCGCAATTTACATCAAAATACACGTTCTGCACAAAAGCAGGACGCAATCTAGGAATGGAAACGTGAAGTTTCTAGCAAACAACGCACTGGCACGTGAACATGTGGCCTCTAACCGAAGGAGAGCTTCCCAACGCAAAGGCAAGCAGGCCCTGGCCAAGTTGCTCCAAACGAGCTTTACACTCCTGTCTCCGCCTGTGCGAAGCACGCAGCAAGGCTCAGCCTCGGCAGATTGGCTCTCAGACAGCCCAGTGACACGATCCGGGGAGCAGACAGTTTCACGAGCCGGAGCCTCTTTAAGGCACGCTGCTGCTCGACCTTGGCCAGTCCACCCGAGCCTTGCTCACCCTGTTCGATTACACACATTCCTTGAGCCTCGCAGTTTCATAGAAAAGCTTACATCTGGGAACGAAGCCATCACGACAACCGGCCTGCCACCTTCCAACCAGGGCAAAACTCCTTGAGCCCAAACGGTTACGAGCCGTTCAACAGCTGGCATTACTTTCCAGACCAACGGGGAACCTTCATTTTGGCAAGCCCTCAAATGAACACCTGCGCAACGCAAGCAGCGCTCCAAGATGCAAGACTTTGGAGGGCGCCTGAGAGCAATGGGCGCGGTTGTACCTGAAATCGGCCGCACTGCTGCTCTCAGAAGGTCAACAAAAAACAACTCCAGCAACTCCATCCATCCAGCAATTCAACTCCAGCGCACGACACGCCGTCTGCCTGAATGCCTGCCAATCCAAAAGGTGCACGCGCTGGGCCAAACTTGCACGCAAGCCTGAGCTACCACAATACGACAAGCCCGCCGACAACAGACGCGTGTTCCTCTGTGCCTGTTACTCCCCTCACCCCTAACCACGGTTTCAGACTATTGCGGTTCCAAGACGTTCCATGAAATCCTGCGGGGGCCGTGCGGGACACAGTTGCGTAAAAACAATGAGGTGTTCGATTCCCCCCAGGTCTGCTTCTGCATCCGTAGCATCTCCTGGGCAACATCGCCAGCATCACCTGCATCATCAGCATCAGCGCCTGCCAAGGATACGGATGATGCAAGTGACGCTGGGGATGTTGCCCATGCTGGTGAAGGAAAATCTGGAAATGAAGTGAAATGCACGGAAATAAATGACATGAAGTGAAAGGAAGGATGGGAAAAAACGAAGGAAAGGGTGAACAAAGATGTTATGGGGGGAACTGGGGAGAAGATGCTAGGAAGATCTTAGGGGGGGAGAGTGTCGGATCTTAGGGGGCGAAGGGGGGCAAAGGAAAAGATCTTATAAGGGGGGGAAAGGGGGGAAGAGATCTTAGGAGGACAAAACAAGCAAAAGATCTTTAAGGGGGGGAGGACAAGGGGGGAAAAAATCTTAGGGGGGGAAAGAGGAGGATCTTAGGGCGGGAAAGGGTGAAACAATCTTAGGGGGAGAGGGGCAAAAAGATCTTAAGGGGGAAAAGATCTAAGGGGGGGAAAGTGGGGAGCGGATCTTGGGGTGGAAAAATGGGGAAACAATCCGGGGGGCGGGAGGGAAAGATTTTAGGGGAGAAGGTTGCAAAAGATCTTACGGGAGAAAACGGAGATCTTAGGAGGGCAAAAGGGGGAAAAGATCTTAGGGTGGAAAAGGCGGGAAAGTATCTTAGTAACGGGGGGAAGGGGGAAGATCTTAGGGGGGCAAAAAAAGAGAAAAGGATCTTAGGGGGGGAAAGGGGGGGAACGATCTTGGGGGGGGAAGCGATCTTCGGGGGTGAAGGGGAGGGAAAGGTATAACAAGGGGGGAAGGGTGGGGGCAAAGATCTTAGAGGGGAAGGGGGGAAAGGGGGGAAAAGATCTGGGAGGGGAGCAAAGATCTTAGGGGGGCAACAGATCTTTGGGGAGGGGCCGGAAAGGGGAGAAGATCTTATAGGGGGCAAGCTAGGAAAAGATCTTAGGGAGGAAAAGGGAGAAGATCTCAGGGGGGGAAAGGCCGTAGGGGGGAAAGAGGGAGGATCTCAACAGGGAAAAAAGGTCAAAAAACCTTAGGGAGGAAATGGGAGAAGATCTCGGGGGTGAATGGCCTTAGGGGGGGAAAGGGGGAAAGGATCTCAATGGGGAAAGAGGGGAAAAGATTTTTGGGGAAGAAAAGCAAGAAGATCGGGGCGCAAATAGGAAAGCAGGCCTGTAACGTCGGCGGCGTTAAAATATTTGGAATTCCCATTTCGGTAGGGAAGCGCACATACTCGCCATGGGCCCTTCCTGGCTGGCAATGCCTTTGCCTCCCTTCCACGGGTGCACAGCGAAAAATGGATGTGTTCTGCGTTTTCTCTGGACGTGACATATACGCAATGTTAAGGAAGCAGGGGGAAAAACAACAACGTCAGAGTTAACCTCCGTACTGCAGCCAACCACAATCAAAGAGTTTAGTTGCGCGGCAACCTTTTCGCAGTGGCAGCGGCCATGCTCGAAGCTGCCAAGTTTCCCACTAACGTCTTGGTTTTTCAACCCTCAGCTTCTCTTGGGCCGAATCCTGGTGTCTGTGTGCTGCACGCATGTAGCACCAAATGAATGTCCGCGGCAGGCGCCGCGCTTTTGCACGCCTGCACCAGTCACTGCAGCAATGACCTCCTGCTCCATTGCATCCGCGAGGGCAAGAACTTCATGAACCTCGACGATCGAGCGAGCCGGCCAGCGCTGCCGAGAATGCATAGCGCTGCTATCGCGTGCCTCCTTTTTAACACGTGCAAGACTTGCAGCCGGGATGGGGTGGACTTGCGAAAGAGATCGCTCCAACTCCCACCCGCTCACGCAGCGTGCACGAGCCCCGAAAGTTCGAGCGTGGTGCTGGCCAGCCCTGCACAAGCTCTGAACGCAAACTGCATGTTGCCACTCGAGACAGAAAGGAAGAGTTGCGCCGTACGACACCACGCTTGGGAAACTGTCCAATGATGGAAAGCACTGCCGGAGAGGAACGAACTGAAACCTGTCCTGTGTCGAAATGGGCACAGCATCCCAAGCTTCCGGACCTTCGGGCCGTCACACTGCGCCTTGATCCTGGGACCGCTTAGTCCCGATCATCGCAACCGCGACCGCTGAGAAGACGAGCAACAGGCTGCAAAAAAAATAAAAAATAAAAAAAAAAAAAAAAAAAAAGAAAAAAAAAACAAAAACAAAAAAAAAAAATAAATAAAAAAAAAAAAAAAAAACTACGAGCAACAGGCTGCAAACTGTGAAGGATGTTTGCAACCTCAATGTTGCACCGGTTTCTCCCGCAACCCTTCAGCTTTGAATTTGGCGTGGCCACACGAGCGCAGGCACACAAATAAGTCAAGCAACTCCAGGTCTGCAAGTAGCAGCAATACGACGCATAAGTTGAGAGGTACCCGATACACCTCAGTTCCATCTCGTGGATGCGAAATTACAAATACAACAGAGCTGAGCTGTAGCGACGCAGGTGTTATTTGTCGAACAAGTTGGGCGCGTTCCAATTTAGAGACAGTTTGATACGAGAAAGGCTCCGACATTGTAGACACCCGCGCGTGTTTCCTCTGGCACAATCTGGCTCTTCACGGTGCTCACGCACGGGAAGTACGCCCCGACCTAGCGCTGATGAGTTTGTGTCTGGAGCAATGCCGCTGATGATTTGACGATTCTAAGGCTCTTGCACAGGCTTCAAAAGCAAGAAAGCCACCGAAGACCCACTCTTCACCTGAGCACTGCTGCCGGGCTACACTGCAAGCACACAGAGAAAAGTGGTGGCAAACCAGCATCCAAAAGTCCAAAGGACTGCTTGGCAAAACGGAGGGAGATTGCTCCAGGGGGGGGAGGGGAGGGGGTAGGGGAAGGGGAAGAGAGGAGGGGGGAGGGGGAGGGGAAGGGGAGGGGGGAGGGTGCGAAGGACCGTGCCGTGGAAGGAGAGAGGGAGAGGGGGTAAAGAAGGGGGGCACGTGGGAACAGGGCGGGAGTCGGGGCTATTTGGGAGGGACGGGAAGCAGGACGAGCTCGAAATTTAGAGGGACGGGGAGGGGAGGGAGGGAAAAAAAGAAAAAACATCACAGCGCGGTCACTACAACATGCGCCATGCGGCGCTCACGCCACGTCATGTTTCTTGATCCTAGGCAAAAGCAACGCGGCCCACAGAAAGTCCGGCTGCAGCACGGCAACACACAAGCAAGCAGTAGGACCTACATACACACAATGAGAAAATGTTGCACGACAACTGCGCAAGTTCTACTGCCACAGCAGCGATACTTTAGGATTGCCTCCCTCTGCGACAAGCGACGGTCCAAACTACAAGCCAAAACTGTTGGTCGCTTGCCCAAACAAACCACTAAATACGAGCCAGCAGTCATGAAACGGACAATGGAACCGAGCTGGCTGGTGCAGTAACAAGTTGCACTTCTACTGCGCGAAAGCCAAAGAGCGCTTCAGAAGCGCTTGAGTGGCAGCAGCGCGCCAAGGTAGTAATGGACTTCTGTAGCACACTTGCTTCTGTTCAAACTACAGAGGCAGATGCGCACCAGCGGCCTGCGTAGGAAGAACAATCAAAGGGAAATATGAGAGAAACATCGACAGTCAAAGGACACTCTTTCGACAAAGGACACAGCAAGGCAAAGCGGAAATTCAAAGGGCGCGAAGGGCTCTGCAATCAAGCCAGCAAAGGAAAAAGGCGCGCTACAGCAAAAAAAACATGCTCCAAGCACGGTCTGTATGGAAGTGACGTGCAACTGAAACTTTGGCAGCTCCAAAAGTTATAGGACTACAACCAGCCTGAAAATCCCGACGGATCGAATTAAGGCGCAGATCTTCGGATCTTTGCTCATTCAAGCCTAAATGGCTTTTGACAAACGGCCGGCCACGTCTCGGCATCTAGGCCGGCCTGGCTCAGCCTTTCTGGCATTTCCTTGACGGGACCCGTCCCGCATGGGTTGCTTTGAGTCAAGGTTGTGGCGGGAGCAGCTCTGGCGCTACAACGCGGGGTCGACCAGCCCGTCCAACATCAACAACGAAGGTGCCCTTGGCTGGGCTAAAGCCACGGTTGCTAAAGCGGTTCTTCGCTACCTCCACCTTAAACATGAATAAACGCAACTCCTTCTGATCGGTAGCCGGCCTTGAGCTCTGGGCATGTGTGTGTGTGGCTGGGCGCGTGTCCGCTGCGCGACGGAAACGACAACTCCTTCAGGCAGCGTCCGTTCTCCAGCGGTGTCCATGAGCAGTACTCCTTGCCCTGCGGCACAGAGTGCCCAAGCAGAGGTCAAGCCCACATGCGGCCAAGCAGCCACCAAGGCCCCAACAAAGCTTGTCATCATCGCGATCATCACGATCATCTTTGTTGTATCACGCTAGGCTGGAGATGCTGGGGACGCGTAGTCACTGTCATCAACGTTCTCACCATCGTAATCACCTTCGCTATCATCATCGCCCTCCTCAACTGCGCTTCGCTGATCGTTATCATCATTCTCAGTATCGTGATGATCTTCTTCAACGTCATCATGCTGGGGTCGCGTCATGATGATTGTCAGCATCATCATGGCCCTCATCGTCATCATGACCCCGTCGCGAGGAGTAAAGGTGGGAACGCTGCGCTAAGGGTGAGACGACGGCCTGCTAAATAAAGCGGAGAAGTAAACAGAAAACTGACAGCGTTCTCAGTGTTCTCGAAGCCAGCGATCGGTGCCCAGGAGCGAGGCCTTGTAACGCCCTCTGTCTACCATCGTACCTGGAAAGATTGTTTCGCCTTTGCGGCGCTCGCAGAGGAACTTCTAGATTTCCTTTTTGGCCACCCATGTCATCATCGCTTCACGGCGTTCGCATTGTGTTTCGTAGCTGTTCTCGGCGGCTACGTACTGTCAGAAGTCTTCGGGCATGATCTTTGGCGCCACCCCAGCTCTTTGTGTCTCAACTGGTTGGTAGAGCAAGTAAGCGTTCTGGTCTTGCACGGCCAGCATCGTGCTCTTGAGCGTGTTCAAGGGCCTCCTCCAGCTTGCGCTGGCCCATGTCTCCATCCTTTGTCTCACGCTCTAGGCTGCTGCTGAGTAGTCGTTGCGAGGAGCCTCCTCGAAACAACGTTTCGGGCCCGTGTCCGCCTGTTGGGCGCGATGCCATATCTGGGAGAAACACTGCTACCTGAACGCGGCTCGCGTGTACGTTTGGCAGCTGCGGCGATGCTGGGGATGCATGGTGGTGAAAAGCCATTGTTGCTATATTCGCGACCAGTACCACCATCTTTGTCGCACTACGCTTCGCAGCGGGCGCTCAGGGCGCGTCGTTGTGTTCATCATCATCGTCATCATCTCCGTCAGCCTTATCATCATCAATCATCATTACGCTTCGCAGGTGATGCTGGGAATGCGCAGGTGGCGTTGGGGGTGCGCAGTCATTATGACCCTTGTAGCGCCCCTAATCAACGCTGGGCATGCGTAGTCTTGACTATCATCATTGATATCATCCTCGCGGCCCTCACCATCATCTGCGTCGTGTCACGGTTTACTGGGGATGTTGGGGGTGCCTCATCATTGTCATCATCACCATCATCCTCATCATCATCATCATCACCATCATCATTGCGGGCACGAAATGTAGCTTGTTCCCCGCGGTTGCACAACCTACTTCGCAGCATCAGCATCACCAGATCACCATGCTCTGGTTGGTGGAAAACGGGCGCTAGCACGCCGCCAATCGCCAAGAGCGCGCCGATCGCCAGCCCTGCACTCGGCTTGAGCACACTGTTTCCCAGACGCAACGACGCAAAGACAGTCATCTGCAACAGCTCGCGCAAGCTCCAACGAGTGCGCTTCTACCCAGGGTTCTGCGCAGCGGGTCTGGTGATGGGCTTTTGCCTTGAACTGACGAAATGCAGAATTTGGTCTCGGCCCAGAGCGCCTCTGAGGCGCGCTGGGCCCCCTTCTCAAAACATGTGTTTTTTTGGCTCGTCAACACAAGTCACGTCGGCCGTTTGCATAGTCTGCTTTTGGCAATTTGGACCCAGCGTTGAACATGCGCAGATAGGAGCCGTATGTTTCTCACGTTGGAGGCGGCCAACTGGTTCATTCTTTGCCGGGCCCCAAGGTGGTCGCAGAGCTGTGGACAAGCCAACTTCTTGGCGCCACGGGATCCGTTTAAGAAGAGCGTGGGTGTTCCAAAGCAGTAAGCCATCAGCGAGGTTTAATGAAGCAGGCCAGCCAGGAAAAGGCAAACTCGAACGCTTGTCCTCGTCACTGGCTGGGCCACTTGGAACCGAGATACGTCATGTCGATACGGACAGTCACAGAGCCGCCGCCACGCAAGCAAGCGCAAGCTGGCTTCTGAGCGGCGTACTGCGCTTGGGCGTTCCTTCGTGCATATCGCACCTGCAACATGGCGGGCCAGCACGCACGATTTTGCGCTAACGCTTTCATGCGGGACGCGTGAAGATGAGGGCGACGCTGGTCAGTTCATTGGTGTTTGCCTTGGTGTCGCGAATGGACCCTGACACCGGTGACGCATTCTATCTGCTGGATGGGGATGGCGAAACGCAGTGGAATTTGTTGTACGCGACTTTTGTGAACTGGTATTCAAACATTCGAGTGCCATCATAAGCGTGCTTGGCTTTTGGAACAGCGAAAACCTGCATAGCTTTATGAAAGCTTTGTGGTTGTTGTGTCTGAGCAGTTAGTTAAAACACCATTCCGGCGCAGAGCGTCTGTTCTTAGCTCAACTGGATGATAGCCCAACTGGATGAAACGATGCTATTCGACATGCCCCCTATGGCTTGCAGTAACTTCTCGAAAGTCGCCCTGCTCTCAGACATGCAGGGAATGCTGCGTAGGTTCGGAAAAACTATAGCTTGAACTATCTTTACGCTCACTGGTGGGCGCATGGGTGCATGGGTGCGTGGGTGCGTGGGCGCATGCCTGGGTGTGTGTGTGTGTGTGTGTGCGCGCGCGGCCGGGCCAGGGGCTGGCCTGCGTGGCTGGGGCGCAAGCCCGGGCCAACCCTGCTCTGGCCCTGGCCAACGAACGTTTGGCTCTTTCCTTCTTTCTATTTCGTCTGGTTCATTCATGCGGGTGTCCAAAACAAGTACTGGATATGACACCATATCATTCCAAGAAACGAAATGTACATTCCAACTAAACAAAAAATAGGAACGCTTCAACTTCAAAACCTCAGAAACGTTCCCTTCCCACACAAGGCGCCGCTGGAAGATTGATCTTCCCACTCAGCAAACCACAAACGTTGGGGAGGCGGCCACTTGTAGCTACGGGGCAAGGGCTATAAGTATTTTTGGTCATTTCGCAAGCTAGAGTACAACAATGCTGGGGAGGCGGCCAATTTCGCCAAGGAACAAGCTCGAAAGCTACAATGAGCGAAGAAAACAAGACAGAGCCCACGAACCCGAATGCACATCGCTTTGCGCAAACCCAAGAATATAATTAGAGAAAACATTTTTCGGTTTTCCCCGCTGGGGCTCGCAATCAAGCCTACTGCACAAACTATGTTTTTCAGCTTGTAAAACTGTACTTTGCGCGCTCCACTTGTTGGTGCAAAGCTACGATTTTTCAATCTGGAGCTGGACACCGCGCGCCAGACTTGCACTACAATTTTCCAGCCGGAGGAGTCCAGCTAGAGCTGAAACCTGTACTTTGTGCACTAGGCTCGAACTACAAAGTTGCGATTTTCGAGCAGGAGCTCAAAACCTGTACTTCGCGTACTACACTTGCACTTCAGTGC